AAAATTTAGGATGTAATTCAACTTACCACTATTATTTATCAAATTTTAAAAAGAAAAATATAAAGAACATTGCTTGTAAATAGATATATGTTTTGAAGTGGCAAAATAGTAAAATAAAATAAGAAAATACTAAAATTATGCCACAAATAAATAACTTTAAACAATACAGAAAAGAAAGCATTCAACAATCAACCATTCAAATTCATTTTACATAAATGACATGACAAGCACTAATCATTCGGTTATTTATTTCGAATAAAGAAATTAATAACATTAGTCATCATTTTAATGATTTTATTTGAGTAAATGCTCAAAAATATTTTTAGTAGGTAACGGAAGCAACAAGAGCGCCAGAAGAAAGGGCCCTAGCCGGCGGGGCCCAGCCAGGACAAAAAGAGGTCCCACAAAGCGCCTACACCGGCCGCATTTGCGGTCGGGGTAGACGACGGATGGGGACCACCTACGAAAGCTGTCCAGGCCTACACGAAATGAGGCAGGATAAAGAGGGATAATCCCCCTCGATCCCAAATCATTGAGGCCAATTTCTAGCCATGGAATAATGGCAGTAGGTAACGAAAATGTAATTTGTTCGAAATTTATCTTGCATCTGATAAAAAGCATTATTTATTCTTTCTTCTAACTGCTCAAGTGTATTAATTTCTTCGCTGTATACCAGCCGGTTAACAGCACTCCCCAAAAAGAAATCCAGTGGGTTGACATCCGATGTTTTCAGTTCGTTCAGCACCATTTGTGAATCGCCCTGTATAAACTAGACATGTGCACTTCATTTACAATTTTTAACTAATCTTTAATCTAACGCAGAAAAGAGCTAACTTTGTACTAACAAATTTTGAGGTCTTTTGAATTAGGTTGTACCACAAGGTAAACATTAATATTATGTAACTGATTCTCATTTCGTTGTTTACTTGTGGAACTATTAGCAATGCGTACTCTGTTGTTACATATGCCTTGCATACGATGTACGAGATGAGATCTCCAACTCATTCAAAAGCAATGATTTACCGATGACGAAATATCTTTTACAATTAATGGATATCGTCCTACACACACAGTTATACATCTACTGTGTGTATTAATTAAAAATTATTACATATATGCCTATATTGCCCTATGAAAAAAATTTGAAATTGTAAAAAAAGAAGCGCAAAAAATTAATGAAAATGACATAGGCACCAAAAAGTAAGTTGAAAAATCACACAATTGATTTGTTACTTACAAACAAGATGTATTTTTTAGGTTTTAAAATATTAATAGTATATATAACACTGATCTAATTATACAGGGTATTTTTAAATGTCTAATTAATCTCAAGGTCGAAATAAGATCACTGAGTCATACATACCTCAGTCCAAAATTGTATTGTTGCCAAATTATGTAGCATTTAAGTTGACATTTATTATTTTTGGCTGTTTATGCGTACGCGTAAATCAATTGTTTTCAACGTACCAGCGCCAGCGTTATGAATGTATGTTATTTCATGAAATTTTAACTGCTTACATATGTGTGCAACGTCCCGCAATGTTTATCCTGTTAAATTCGTGCTACGCCACTGTCTAAAATTGAATATGTTACTTTGAGATTATGTTATTTCACATAAAAAGAGAGAAAAGATTTTCAAATCTGCTCATTTTAAATTTATTATTGCTGTACGTACTTGATCTATTATAGTGTACGTTTATGAAAACACCATTAAAAATGTCTTTATCTCAAGATGAACACTTGCTATGTTTTTTCGACCTATAAAAAATTATAGTGTTTCATTGGTCCTTGTATACAAATGTTAATAAAATTTAAAATAAAAATAACCACAAATAATAATTTTATCTACAATAAAATGTAATTCATGTTGTAAGCTTTGGAAACATGCCAAAATCTGTTTCAAAATTCAATAATATTAATATATTAACAAGTACAACTCCAATTTTTTGCGAATATGTACATGGAATGTACACTGTTAGTATATATCTTCTAGTAGCAAAAGTCTAAATCTGCAATTCATTAGAGAACATGTTTTCCATTAAAATTTGAGTTATAAAAGTTCCAGTGCAAAGAAAAACATGTGCCAATAGTGCCAATTTAATTTAATATTAGTTTCAAATCATCAATTTCAAAAGTTTAGGAAGTTGGTTTAATCTACACATAATTAGCTCAGTAAGCGCGAAACTAAATGTGTACAGGACATAGCTAGTACCATGCGAAACATCGCCATAATTTTAAAAATGTTGTCACGCCGTTCTTGGGGGTGAAAATTCGAAATATTTAGAATTATTCAAATTTCGTGGCTGAAAACGTACACAGTAGGATGACCCAAAAAAACTAACATTTTTTTTCGTGTCTCGTGAAAATATGTTAGTTTATCACGTTTTAGACCCCCTCAAATCAGGTCAAAAAAAATCTTTTTAGAGGTCGCTCAAGATTTTAAAAAATTTCCAAAATCGTCAAATATATTTTTTTTTCTATTTTTTTCTCTCCTCAGCTTCCCTTATTTAAGCTGTGAACAAAATAATTTAAAGAATAAGTAGTTAAGATTACCATCATAACTTTGTTTAAAAAGTTATATTTCATAATTTTTATTTTATCAAAAATCTATTAATTTTTTGATGTTTAGATTCATCAAATATTAAAACTTTTGGTATAAAAAAAAATCATGCAACTAAGCAACAAATCACTAGAAATAATTAAATAATGATACCTACAAAAATGGTAAAACCTACAATTATTCTAAATTTTTTTTATCGGGGGAATCTAGTAGAACAACTATATACAGTGTGGCTCATTGAAAACCAGAACACATCTATAAAAATTTTTTGAGCACCTAAATATAGTTATTGAAGCAATTACGATAATCCAATTAATACACCATAGCCTGCTGCAACTTTATAGGAAAATCAATGTAGTATTTTTTATCTCAATTTTTTCAATTTGTAATGTAAAATATTTTTAATGCAGATGTATTTTGCATTTATAGTTTCTGCTTCAGTTTTAAAATCGAAATGTCAGTGGAAGGAAATATGCAAGTATGAAAAATTGGCCTCCATTTATTGCTGATTATAACTGGTACTTAAAAAAAATAGTTTTGAAATTTTTAAGTCCTGCCCAAAATTATACAAATAACTTACAAACAGAGTTTAATATTTAAAAATGATAATAGATAGTGGCACATTTTTCGTGCTCAACTATCCCCAAAGCCTCCTAGATTTTTAAACCAAAAAATATATTTTATAGATTCATACGTTTGAGTATGTATAAAAAAAATATTAATATTATAAGTTGATTTGATTTGAGATATTGGTAATAATACCTTCAGTACAACTTACATAATAAAAGTGCAGATCCCTAGATCTGGGCGAGGTCCGTAACATTTTCAAAATTGCAAAAATGTTTAAAAAAATTTTAAAAATACCTAATAAATTTTATCTGAGTTTTTTTACTTATATCTTGGAACCTATGCATTTTGGAAGAATATTGAACAGGAAAGAAGTTTTAGAATTGAATTTTACATTATACTGTAAATTAAACATGTTTAAATTTATTACCAATGTTGCAAAATAGCAGCAATTGGTGAAAAAAGGCAAAATAATCAAGTTTTTTAGGATAATTTTTTTTAAATATTTTTATTGCTCCGAGGGCATTCTAATTTGTTCAGCTTAGAACTCGGAAAAACGAAGCCACTGGATCAAAGATTATTGCTAAATTGCTTATAAATTAACGGTAAATACCGATAAACTTTGACCACTTATATCTCGAGAACCAATAAACGGAATTTAACTTTTTTATTTTTAAAGAAGCGTCTTTCCGAGTATTTTAAAATTGTAATTTTTGAAAAAACAAATTGTAAATTGATAAATGTAATCTAATTGTTTAAACATTAAAAAAAGGGTGTTAACTTTAATTATCCAAAAAAACTTAATATTATTTTGCCTTTTTTCTTCAATTATTGCTATTTTGCAACATTGGTAATAAATTTAAACATTTTTAACTTACAGTATATTGTGCAAAATTCAATTCTAAACTTTTTTCGTCTTCAATATTCTTCCAAAATGCATAGGTTCCAAGATATAAGTAAAAAACTGAAATAAAATAGTTTTTTTTTCATTTTTTCAACATTTTTGCAATTTTAAAAATGTTCCAGACCTCGCCCAGAACTAGGGATCTACACTTTTATTATGAAACGAGTTATACTGAAGGTAATCCAGAAAAAATGACTTGCCCCTTTTCACATCCACCTCAAAACAGATCCGTCCTGATCTAAAATGGGACATTGTGTACTTAATTAAAATTCATTGGTTTTTTATATCGACTTGCGTCACAACAATGCACTACTATTTTTTGTTCAATAAAAAATGCTTTAAAATTATCGGGACTATTTCTGGGTTTATTCTGGGACTATTCTAAGTTTTTAAAACTTTTGTATCAATTACTCTACACCGATATTCAGGTCCGGATTTGGATGTTTATGTTTTGCTCTTTTTTTTAGAATGAAACCAAAAGTGTCAGGTTCTGAAATTCTATATCGACAAGTCGCTGATTGCGTTGGCGTGACCCATTTTTATTTTAGAATCAAACTTAGGTTTTTAAATTTTGTTGTTTTTTCTTTAGAAAAAGGGCCTCTGTACAGCTTGCTGCCCCGGACCTCACCCTAGGTTAATGCGGCCCTGCCTGTGTTGTTCCATTATTTAATTATACTGATTAAAATATTGTTGGTAACAGCTTTATAAAAATAGACAGGTACTTATGTACTACATTTAAAAAAAAGTGGTATATTATTTTCATCGCATAATTAACGAGTACATAAATGTTTTACAAGATTACTAAAAAACCGTAACCTATAAACAGGATTAAAAATAATGTCATTGAACAAAATCTAAAAAATAAGCCGGTGACAAAAAGTGCTTAGCTTCACTTTCATAAAAAAAAATATTCATGTAAATCAACAACACGCATCGACACAGGGAAATAATAGCACAGCATCAACTCACCTGTTAAATATATAACAAACGGCTTAAAATACATCGAGCGTCATCTCATTTTTGACACTTCACCACTCGAAAAAACTCGCGATAAATAAACGCGACACAGTTAAAAAAACCTCAAAAAAAAACCTCAACGAAACTCTCGCGGACGACAACTTATAAACAATAATCGCACGCGAGGCGCCCAACTTTTCGCACTTCAAAAGTTGACAATAGAAGCCGAGTATCGCGACGCACAGCCAACAACGCGCGTAGAGCGTGCTGCTACCGGTAGAATCGTATAGCGCCGCCAGCGGTTTGGTGGGTACTGACGCCCCCAGAATGTCTAGGCGGCGGTGATCCTCGGCTACATGCATCTATTTTGTTATCCGGCACAAAGCCGTGGTAAGTTTAACGGAAAACAAGAAGTTTTGTTTGGTTTGTCTGGGCGGTTTTTGTTGTTCGTTGGTGTCTTTGGAGATGACTTCGTAAAAGTGACCGCAAAAATCGCCCGTTTTTTCACAATTCGCAGAGAACTAAAGAAAATAGATAAAAATATGTTTTTGATCTCAAATTACTTACGTAAAAAATTAAAATGAGCATAGCTTTTAAGTTTTTTGAAAATTTTCAAAAATCGCCCCAATTTAGGGGTTGAAAAGACGCCCAAAATGAAGAATATTACCAATGAATATAAAAACTATTAGCATGCGAATTTTGCTATCGAATGAGTCTTGATACAAAGAAAGATTTATTCTCATGACTGAAATAAGCATGTTGAATTAGAAAATCCACCCTTAAGCGCGCTCAAGGGGTGGAATCATCCCCAAAAATAGAGAATATCAGAAATGAATTTAAAAATTCCAAAAAAAAATATATTGAGATAATTCACATGCTAATAGTTTTTATATCAATTGGTAATATTCAAATTCTTCATTTTTGACATTTTTTAAACCCTTAAGTAGGGGTGATTTTTAAAATTTTCAAAATACTAAAAGCTAAGCTCATTTCAGTTTTTTACGACAAGTAATTTGCAACTAAAAACACATTTTTATGTATTTTTTTAATTCTCTGCGAATTTTAAAAAAACGGGCGAAAATCACAGGTTTTTTGCGGTCACTCCTTACTGTCGATGGACATTCGAACTGCTTTTTGGAAATTAAAATATGATTCTTTTCGTGATTATAAATACATGTTTATAAAAAAACGTATATTTGGGGTCGTGACCAGACAATTTTTAATATTCCTGATGCCAAAACGTGTTTCAAAATTCAATAAAATCAATATAATACCAAATGCAAGTCCAATTTTTTTGTGAATATTAAATTATTATTATTATATGTATGTACATTCTTCTAGTAGCAAAATTCTAAGTTTGACATTTAAAAAGATATATTTCCTAATTTATGTTTTATCAAAAAATTCATTCATTAAAATTAAAACTTTTGGTATCGGAAAAAAAATCATGTAACTATAACAACAAATCATCAGATTTTAAGAACTCGAAAAATGAAAAAGAGTTCTCATTCAGTTAAATACCAGTAAATTTAAATTTACTTTATTATTTAATGTCATAACAAATCATTAAAGACATACATAAAAAATGGTAAAAAAACTACAATTATTTTACAATGTTTTTGTCGGTCTACATAGTAACATATGTCAAAGTTGCTGTAGTCAACTGTTTTTGTTCAAATGACGCACTATATATTTTTTATTAATTCTGGAAGATATTTTTTGCGTTCAGCTATATAAGGAAGTCTATAGATTCATTAGAAATATTGCTAGAAAAACAGCAACAAAGATTAACCCTACTTTCAGTAGCTTTATTCTAAAACATGATAGCCAGCTGCGGAAACAACTGAATTTTGACGTTTGTAAATAACAGTTTGTCAAAATAATTGACATTTACCTACCTATTATATAACTAATTATAACATGAATACTTACAGTAACCAAGAAAAAATAGATATGGTTTTAATTTATGGAGAGTGCCGAAAAAACGCTAAAGCTGCCGGATACCAACATCGTTTTGCGCAGAGACAACTTCTATCAGATAAAATTTTCTGAAAGTTAGCCAGGAATTTGGCGGCAGATGGAAGTTTTCAAAAGAAGAGTCTTTAAACCCAGAAGGGCAAGAGATGAGGAACATTCGATAAAGATGGTAAATGGCCTGCTAGATCTCCGGATCTCATTCCTATAGATTTCATTCTTTGGCCTTACCTAAAGGAAAAAGTTTACTCTTCGCCTTTAAATGATATTGATGACCTTAAAAATAGAATAAGAGTAGAATGTTGGAGATTAAATGAAGAAACACTAAAATGTGTTTGTAGAGAGGGAGTGATAAACAGAGATATTCTGTGTTTGGAAGCAAATGGAGGTCATTTTGTATATTTGAAATAGGTATTGTTTTAAATTGTTATATTATCATCGTATTAAAAATAAAATATGTTACTTTAAAAAACATTGTAACTTGTTTCTGCGGCTGACTATCATTTTTCAGAATAAAGCTACAAACAGTAGGGTTCATCTTTTGTGCTGTTTTTCTAGTAATTTTTCTAATGAAACTATAGACTTCCTTACATAGCTGAACGCAGAAAAAAATATCTACCATGATAAAAAAAATATTTAGTGTGGCATTTGAACAAAAACAGTTGATTATAGAATAAATAGAAAAAGTGCTTTTTGAAAAGGAATGGCGCTTTTTTCTTCGAAAAATTCTCAAAAAGAAACGTTTTTCAATATGTAAATTTATGAGACAGGTTGTATTTTAATTATTTACAGATAATGTTATTAAACCAAATCTTATTATAGAAGTAAATAGCAACACTATTATTATTGTTATAACTAAATATCTATTATATTATTTATATTAACTAAATATTCCGATTTTTTTTTTCAATAATAAGGTTGTTTTGCATAGTACCATAATACTAATATTACTTATATTTATGTATTTAGTAAAAACTACATCTCAAATTGAACAAAATAAAAAAAAAGTTTTTAGTTTTAGCCAAGTCAAATGTTCACGACTTCTTGATGGGTTGTAATGAAAATATGAAAATATTCATGAAAGCTACTCTAAATCGGTACTAAATAGTACCAAAAAATCGGGAAAATTAAAAATGGTCCGGTCGCAACCTCAGTAATTTGACATGGAATGTCCCATTTTAATATTAGCTCTCAAATTTTTTACTCTAAGTATTGAGCTCAATTCAAACAAATTCAAAAAAAAATCTCAAACCTTATCAAACGAAATCAAACAATTGAACTTGTCTGAATAACTTAATATCTTAAAATATAGCAAAAAATGAGAAAATTAATAACAAACTATTTTTTCAAAAGAATTAATAACGTCAAATATTATTTTAGATAGAAAAACAATTTTAAAATCTAATCATGTTAAAGCTTTTGATATTGTCGTTTCAACCTGTCATTTTTTTTTAGATAAAGTTTAATGTTTACATATAATTTTTTTCTGTTAATTAATGTTTATTTCATATCAGAAGAAAAGCTGCCTGAAGAAACAGTCCTAAGCAAAATGTGGAAACAAACTTTCACAAATCATTCTTAAATTTGTATTATTCATTTGGAATTATTTCACACATTGTATTATAACCAGTCAGGTGTCATTTTCTAATTAATTTCGAACAAGACACGTAATTTTTATGCTGGCAAGACTTACTTTTTATTGCGATAAAACCATATGTTGTTTTACAGAAAGAAAGATGAAAATTTTAAAATTAAGCTAAGTCTACGACATACTTGAATAAATCGAAAATCACCGCAAAAATTTAAAATAGCTTTAAAATAGTCAACTATAGTTGAATCAGTTTGCTGGTAACTGATGAAGGCGTATTAATATTAAAATAAACAAATTTGTTTATTTAATACCATTCATGAACTTTAATATTAAACAGTCTTGATTTCTTTTTCATATTTAAACTTACATGTTAGTTGATATTAGATAATAATTTCCTCAGTATAGTACTTACCCATCAGACCTGTCACGTGGGTCACTGCATGTGTCATCATCACCAAACAAGATTTGACTACTTCACTGTCAGAAAACGAACTAATTTACACATGAATCGATATCGTTGACGTTGTTTGAGGATTTCGAATATATTCATAACCACAGCTTCGAATCCCCTTTTACCCTTAAGGCTTGTAATAGGTAATCTACACGAGAGACATGATTTGCATGTTACCTTGAGGATGAAATGGTGATAAGCTTGTAATATCTGCTTAATTAATTCCAAACTATATTTCATTAATTCACTGATTATATCTAATCAATCTGGCACCTTTTCATTGCAGTACATGCTGCAAATTTCATTGGGAAGTTCCGTATACAATGTAGATTCCATGCACGTCACTGTTTCAGCCCTAGCTTTTTAGTTTTTATTCAAATATGAATAAATCATAGTTTAGGGTTTGAAAAAAATGATTATCAAAGTTAATGCAGCTACCATGCGGAAAAAACGAAGCGATATGCTTTTTTTAGATCCCTACAGTTAATTAGTTTTATTTTTATCAATAGCTCCTATTACTGCGTTACTATTTTTAGAATATAACTTTACATTAAACAGTCGTCTTAATAGCAAGGTTTGTCCTTGGTTATTGTAAACGGATCATTAATATTAAATTATGAAATTTAACTTCTGCAACGATTTGCACCCTTCCTTCTTCGACCTAATTAAAATTTTTATTGAGTTCATCAAAAACGAATGATAACTAATCTCCAGGAGCCTTTGTGTCGTATTTATAAGAGAACTTATATTTTCCCGGATCTATTGCAGTCAAGATGAGAACGAAATAAAATGAAGGCAGTATATGTTTTGCTCAACATCTAACGATATCAAAGTTATGAAAAATTCAGGGTACGGAACTGAGGGCAGATAGCTGGTTTAATGTCAGTTTCGATCTGAACTTTCTAAACTGTCTTCAATTTATACAATAATGACATAAATCGCCACGTCTCTACTCTGATAAGATCCGAGTAAATAAACATCATTTCAGTTATATTTCATTCATATTGGTTTGCCGGTTTTTTCAAACTAAATGAGGGTTTTCCCTTGAATAGCAAGATATGTGTCTGTCTACATATATCATAAAAAATTACGAAAATATAGCAAGTAAGCTTCTATGATTTCGTATACCCCCACAATTTGTTCGATAAAACTTTTATTTTAAGTTATTTTTTTATTAGTTACAGTTCCTTAAAATACTTCAAATA